TCGGGTTTCCAGTGCTTCGGCACATGCGTATGTACGCACATTCTGGTTTGGGCACTGAAAAGATTCACCATTACTGATCTAGGTGCTTTCTAGTAGCTAGAATCTAGGCAGACAATCAAGATCCCGTATCTACTTACATCCATTCTGTTTATTTTTATCTTGGCATAGTGCAAGTACATGTTAATGGTTGACTGGGAATCTTACCTAAAGTGTCAAAGAATGCAGCAGCTTTGATTTGGGATTCCGGACTGGATAAGCAATCTGTTTTTGCCAGGTTGCAGGCAAATTTCCTGCCAGTGTGAGGAACTACAAGAAACCTGAGAGCTGTTTCTACCAACGCTACCACTTAGGGAATCATTCCTTCTCTCAATTCCATTCATGCCAAGAGAATGCCATTCCCAAACCATGTATCCTGCCAAAGAGACATAATTGTAAAAGGATCTGCTTGTTGTATTTTCCTCTCTTGATTTCAAAGTAGAAAGGCAGCTAGCATTGATTGTAAGCAAAAGCCACCCCACCTTCAGAGAAACTAAGCGCTTGTACTTTTTCATGGAATTTCAGTTAAATTATATATTGGCTTCTTAAGTTTAAAAAAGCAAATAAATAAAGAAGCAGCAACCGAGAATTTTAAAGGCTAATTGCAGAATTCCAATTCTTTATTTTTCTGTGCTCTTTTCAGTTCCCCTGTTTAATATTTTATCATAACTGGGAGTGGTTGCTACATGAGGCAATCACTAAGTGAGAACTGTATGATCTACTTACAACAGTTTGTTTAGTGATCATTTGAAGTTACAACGGCACTGGAAAAAGTAATCTATTACCTATTTTCACACATACAACCTTTGCAGCATTCCCAAGGTCACATGGTCAACATTCAGAAGCTGGGCAACTGATTCATATTTATGAAGGTGATCGCCTTTTGTGACTTTCTGACGAAGTCAGTAGGGAAGCCAGATTCACTTAACGACCATGTTACTAAGTAAACACGTTACTAACAGTGATCCGCTTAATTACTCGGGCAAGAAAGGCCATAAAAGGGGACAAAACTCACTTAGGAGCATAAATTTGGGGCTCAGTTGTGGTCATAAGTTGAGAACTACCTGTACTGCTTACCCCTGGCCTTGAGGAACAGCTATCAATTAGAATAGATGATGTTGTAGGTTGTGAGACGCTAACTGATAGAACAGTTGTATTCTACTACCATAGATGCAATATGGCTTCTTTTAGAAATGCATCTGGAAATGTTTCCGTTTTGACTGCTAGTCTGTCATCTTACACGCGGTACAAGAAAGAAATACATAGGTTTGATGAAACAGAATGCTAAAGGCAGAGGGGCAATAAATAGAAGTAACCAGAGCTCTTGGACACTGCACTAATCTCATTTCATTCATTCTGATTTAATATCCTGGTTGAGAGAGTGATGTCATGCCCCAGCGGTATGGGAGAGGTAGTGTTGCATTAACTCTCTGCATCTCAAATTGACAAAGCCATCCTGAAAACTCATATTTCAATATTTTTAGTAGTTATCTAGTCACAGAGGAAATATCTGTCTCCGAATTAGGAGTTAATGAAAGTGAGCCTCCCACAATGAAAGAGTTCTAGGAAATAGTTATGGAGCTATGGAGTGCAAGAGTCGTTTTAAAAAGGGAGAGAAAAAAAGAAACTGAAAAACATGAATCAGATATTACGTTTTGCACTAAAGTTGCTCGAGCATCTGTTCAGAAATGAAATCCTGCCATCTTTGTTTAAATACCTTGGCCACCTACTCAATGTATAGACTCATTTTTCTAATTAACCTATACAAGGGGCTGCTTAATGGGCCAGTTACCAGAGCATGAATTAGAAAAGATCTTTTTTTTTGTGTACTTGAATAGGAGCTAGAGAGAGAGAAAAAATGGAGGAAGGTGCTGAAACACTGCCAAACCAACATAGGTCTCTGTCAACTATAAAAACCCAGCTTCTGAATTGGCAGTGAAGCAACCAGAGATGATCGATGATGGACAAAGGAACAAGATCTAAAATTATAGGATCAATGCTTTGGAAAGATCAGTCAATGATCTTCAAATGGTTCTTCGGGGATAAATCTGATAGCTAATTTGGTGTTCCTCAATTAGAAGATACGCCATGCTTCCTTGAAACGCACTAAAAAAACTCTTTTAGAAGTGTGTAAAGATGGGAAAGTCTTGGGTGTGGTTTAGATCCATAACATTATATCTTTTAAGACCTGGGACACATCTTCAACCCAGCAATGCCTTGTAGGACCCTTTTTCTTTATATTTTTAAAATTGTGCATCTGGCACAGACTTCCGTATGTTATGGGGCTTGATCCATCATTTGAAACCTTAATATTATATTCCTATTTCTTAGCAGATAGTAGTTAATTGATCATGTCTTATCTGTGTCTGAAACGACGCTTTAACACATATGGGAAAATGCTTCTCAATTTTCTGCAATACAGTAGACTTTCCTTGATGGAAAAATCAGCACAGGAATGGTTTCTAGAAGTAAACATTTTTAAAATCATTGCTCGAAGCAACTCTCTTGACTTGGATTCTTCTTAAACCAGGGTACAACAACACTGGCAACTGTTCAGCCTGCCGTTTCTCCGATGACAAATCTCACTCACATGTGACTGCTAAAGATTCTCAAGAGGACTATTTATAAAAGAGAAGTAAAATTATCCCTCAAAGCCCTGACCAAATTCCAGTCCAGGTAGTTTATTTCCTGCCTTCCTAGAATTACACGCATGCACACACACTTACGGCCCACCTACCCCCTGCAGATTCCATTTATTTTATTTAGCACTGTCTGTTTATCTGCTATTTCCCATTGCTAAGATACTCGGTTGTTTTGTAATCGGTTAAAAATGTGCAAGCTGGAACAAAACTATGCTGCTTGCTTATGCACTGCGAAGGGTGATCTGTAAAACACCAAAAGAGTAATGTCAAAAAATAACGGTTCTCTACAGAGACTTGCGCTTTTTGTTAGATAGCATAGATTCTGTAAACTGCTGGAATCGATGGAAACAGGCAATCTTGAAAGTGGCTTTTAAAAATAGAAAAAGAACAGTGAAGGGAAAGTCCAACCACTGTCATTATAGTAAGCACTGAAAGAATGAAGTGATTAATGCATATGATAAATGAGCTGACTCATTCATCTCAGGTTTAAAATGTGGGGCTTTTTTATTGGAGCGTGCAGTATATGCAAACTGATGCTTTGTCTTGACAGAAACATTGTTGTAAGTATCCCTCTTCTCTTGCTTTAGGTAATACAGTTATTTGCCAAAGTCTTAAGTGATTTCCCTTGTTGGTTTATATAATTCTTTTCAAGTATTCATCCAGAAAAACAGTGTATTTCTCCAAGGATCCAGAATTCCTATTTGAACAATATGCTATAAGTCTGAAGAATTATAGAATTACTCATTCTTTTGAAAGATCTTGATTGATTCTTATTGGATTTAATTTTATTAAAGTTGTTTCTGGAACTATGGGATTTAGGTTTGAGGTTCGTTTTCCAATTTGTTTTGTTGATTTTTTTAAAATCAATCTGACTTAAAGAAAGAAGAAAGAATTGTATCCATTTGAGTTTTGATTTTAAAAACGTGCAAAAGCCATGGTGGCGCAGTGGTTAGAATGTAGTACTGCAGGCTAACTCTGCCCGCTGCCAGGAGTTTGATCCTGACTGGCCGAAGATTGACTCAGCCTTCCATCCTTCTGAAGTCAGTAAAATGAGGATCCAGATTGTTGGGGGCAATATGTTGACTCTGTAAACCACTTCAAGAGGGTTGTAAAGCCCTATGAAGCGGTATATAAGTCCAAGTGCTATTGCTATTTATGAAATAAATATGCAAACTAGGTTATAGTTATCTTTTAATATTCACGATTCTCACAAATTTGTGGTGTACATGTCTGAATTTAAAGAAAAGCCACAAAATAAATATGGGAGAAACAAAAAATAATGTAGGGGAACTATTGTAAAAATATGGATTTTTCTAGTAACATTTGTATGTGTATTTTTTAACAATTTCAGAATGATGTAAAAGGGATCAAATGAACTAAGGAGGAATGAGAAACTGAAGTCAGCAATTTAATTCATCCCACTAACCATACTTTCTTTGCTCATTCTTTTTCTCTTTTTTCATATTAATATTTGTTTAATTATGTTTCTTAACTGAGTAATAGTTTGATAATGCTAAGATACGATGTATGTGTATGAAATTCTGTTTTATGAAACAGAATTGTAAGAAAGTTTTACCAAATAGGAGATGAGGAAACTTTTAAGAGTGATGACAAGGGATACTAATGCAATAATGGTATTAATACAACAACTCCCCATTTAGCAGCTACTTTAGTTAACCATCATTTGCAAATACAATGGTAATAAATAGTAGTAAAATAAAATCTTGTTCTAACCAATGTATGTGCTTATAACCACATTTCTGCACCTGACATCAGAAACTTCGGGGTGAGAGTAACCCTGGTATAGGTTCATGAATTTTATCTGAATGAACTGGCAGCAACCAGCAATCTTTGCAGTGTCTCTTCAGCTCTGTCTCCAGTTATAGGTTCACCTAGGGACCATTTCACTATATGAGGAAAATCTCTGGAACAAATTGCAGTTGCTAAACAAGAAGACACTGTAGTAAGCAAGTAAAAGGATGGTTAAAGAGTGTGGGAATGCAACATATTGACAAAGCCTAACATCATAACAACTATAGCAACATCTTCAAGAGCCATTCTTGATTCATAGCTAAAGAACAGGCACATTTCCTTTGTATGCTGTCTAAAAAAATCTGTCACAAAATCAGTCATTTGCTTTTATATGCATGCCGAATGTCTTCATGAAAACCAAGGGCTGTTTTAGGCTATAATTGAAATGTAGAAAGTTTGGTTCAGTATTGAAGTGATAGGTTAGTAGAATGAGTGTAAAATATTACAAATAAAATGCAGTTAATGAAAAAGAACCATTGCTCCTAATTCATATTCCCTTCCTTCTTTCAGGGGGCTTTGCCACCTTCTCGTCTTGTTTCCCAGGACTCTGTGAAGGAAAGCCAACTGCCATCCTGCCAATGAGTATCTCTCAGCCATGCTTGCCAGTGGCCAATGTTGGCCCAACACGCATCTTGCCTCATCTCTATCTTGGTTCCCAGAAAGATGTCTTAAATAAGGTACTCTATGACATTGAAGGGAGATGGGCTTGTCTTGTAGAATCTTTATCTCCTAAGCACTAAAGGTCATTGCCCAGAAGAGTCACTTGCTATCTGTGCAAAATCATACATCACCCGGTTGAACAACAGTGTCTTTGTGGACCTCTGAAGTATGCAGAGACAGAGACTTCATGGGCTTCCCTTGAAGCAATAAAGGCATTAGCAGTGGGAATGTTGGGATGGTGAGGCTGTCCCTAAGAAATGTTATGTGAAGGGAGCCAGTTTTGTATTGCCAGAGTATGGTGCCAGCCAGGCTAAGGAACAACATTGACCTCAGCTTTTCCATGTCCAGCCAGAGGATGAGGTATTAGCCTTGGCATTCAGCTGTGACTGATGGTAAGTTGAGGTGCCAGAGAGTGTAGGCAGTGCAGCCTACATCTGCAAGAAGAAGAAAACAAATCCTTTGAAAGGGCCCCCGAATGCATAAAGATGAGCATAGGGAATGGAGGAGAGGGAGGGAGAGCTGCACTGTCCTTTCAAAAGGTGCCAGAATGCTTTGGCTATGATAGGACTGCAGGGAAGAAAGCATAAGAAAGAAGTCATTATTACAATATCAGTGGGCATGTATCCCAGGCCAGAGGGAGCCAGTAGCGTATTGCTCAGAGGGAGGTGGGAGGAAGCGTCTAAATTAGAGGTGCAGAAAGGAAGAAAATAACATTTTATACAGGGAGTAGAAACACACAAGAATGAAAAAATTCTAAGAATGTAAGCTTGGGAGTTTGGCTGGCTCCTAGAATCTGAGGTTAGGGTTTATTGCACAGGAGAAAAATGGTAAACTCAACAAGAGGAACATCATGTTTCCCATGAAACATAGGAACCGTCTATGATGTATTTAAGTTGGTTTGTTTGTTTTTCCTTCACTGTAGCAAAGCAATACTTGGAATACCTTAAGGCCCTATGATTTAATCCATGGAAATGTCTTGTAGCCTTTTTCCAAAGCCCATTCCTCTCTTAGAAGACATGGTGCAGGCCTATTTTCCTTTCCCATTGGAAAACATAAGAAGTACATGGATCTGATTCCACTGGGAATTTATGCTGTAAAGGCATTTCAAATGTTTGAAAATGTTGTTATTGAAGGTTCAGCTGTTTGCTGTGACAAGAAGCTGCTCAACTATTTTAAACTGGCAGCTAAAATACATAGAAACCCTCTATGGCTACAAAACTTGATGGAAGGCAGTCTAGTCAAGAGAGAAAGGAGGACAATGTCCAGCAATGGAAAGTCAGTAACCTTCCCAACATTGTCGGAAGTGCAATTCCTAACCTTCTCTTTGGCCATACTGACTGTGGCTGCTGAGAACTGTAGTTCAAGATCTTCTGGATTTCCACTGCCTCTTAAAACTAGAGCATAATCAGAACCTCTGGAAGAATAGGAGAGAGGATACTGCACTGAATGACAAATGAAATAACTTAACTCTTTTTTTTTCCCCTTCAGGATCTCATGACCCAGAATGGAATCAGCTATGTTCTCAATGCCAGCAATTCATGTCCCAAGCCAGATTTCATCTGTGACAGTCACTTCATGCGCATTCCAGTCAATGACAATTACTGTGAGAAACTGCTTCCTTGGCTGGATAAATCGATTGAGTTCATCGGTAAGGCCGGTCTTATTGGTAAAGAGTTCTTGAAGGTTTTTTGTTTTTTTTCAGAGTCTCAGCTGTTGATGCAAAGGGTTTTGGAATGATGACCAAATTGCTCAGTTCCCCATCTCCTGTTCCATTGGTCCTATATTTTAAGATCTATGGTAGAGGTGGGGAACTCGGCCCCCTTTATGACTTGTGGGCTTCAACTGCCAGAGTTCCATGCTGGTTCAGGAATTCTGGGAGTTGAAACCCAAAGCTCATAAAAGGGCCATAGTTCCCCCACCTGTGATCTACGGTGTGCAAAATACCAGTCTTCCCTTGGAAGGTGGACCTTCTCCTTTTGCACAAAACAATTTCCTGGTGCTGATGCCCAGGTGACAAGATTAATGTAAATCTGGATATCGCCGAGGAACAATTAGGACTACTTGAGATAATACTGCTCTTTCAAGGAATATGCTTTTTAAACTTCAGAACAGCCAAGCTTATTCAGATAGTATTTGTTAATATGTACAAAAATAATTTATTTCTTAAGACATAGAATGTAGGCAGTGTTTCAGATTGCCTGTGAAAGCACTCTTTATCAGTGGTGGTATTCTACTGGTTCGGCCCGGTTCAAGTGAACCACTAGTAAAAAAATGTTACTGTTCGGCTGAACCGGTAGTAAAAAAACAGATACTGGTATTTCTTTTTTCTTTTTCCTCAATGATCAGCTGTTCCGATGATCAGCTGTGCTGGGATCCCTCTCACTGTCTTACTGCTTTGCCCAGGAGGCTTCCCTGAGGCCCAGGAGGCAAAACAATGGAGCACGGGAGTGGTGGCGCTGCTCCGCCCCCCCCCCCCCCCCCCCCCGCGCGCTCCATTTTTGGACTCCTGGGCCTCAGGGAAGCCTCCTGGGAGCAAAAACGGTCTCCCAGAAGGCTTCCCTGAGGGCCCAGGAGGCAAAAAAAAATGGAGTGCAGGGGGGTGCAAAAAAAGCCACGCCCACCCTGTCACATGGCCATGCCCATCTCTCCATGCCTACAGAACCAGTAGTAAAAATATTTGCATCCCACCATCCTGGTATCTTCTGGAATATTGAATCAACTCCCATAATTCAGAGCCAGGATGACCTTTAGGATTTAGGAGTGTTGACATCCAAAATATCTAAAGGATGAATGAATGAATGAAACATTTCCAAACAATGCTGATATTTGTTGATTTATTTAGTTGATGCTATGCTTAAATAAATGAATGCTGTGCCCAGATTTTTAATCCAGGCTTTATTCATTCCGTAGTTTTTATCATGTCAAAGCAACATAATTTATTGCAAAAGATTGTCAAATAGACAGACATAGTCCAGGCTCTGAAAATCAAATCACCCCTTCATAAGAGATGAAGGATGTAGCAATAGCACTTTGACTTACTGTATATACCGCTTTATAGTGATTTATAGCCCTTTCTAAGTGGTTTACAGAGTCAGCCTATTGCCCCCAACAATCTGGGTCCTCATTTTACCCACCTTGGAAGGATGGAAGGCTGAGTCATCCCTGAGCCTGGTGAGATTTGAACTGCCAAATTGTAGACAGCTGGCAGTCAGCAGAAGTAGACTGCAGTACTGGACTCTAACCACTGCACCACCGTGGCTCAGTGGTGCAGTATTTGCCTGTTTGGTTTCTTTAAATTATTTTAAATTTGCATTATGCAAGGAAAGTATAGGGAACATACAAGTCGATTACAACATTTTTTTTCATTTCAGACTACTGGTCATGCTGGCTGGTCTAATTAGAGCTATAGTCTGAAATCCTCAGATTCCCTCTCCTTGCTACAAGCTAAACGCAAGAGTTGTGTAACCAGTATGACCAGCACAGTGAAACTTAATATAATGGCATTTGCAACAGTCCATAATTGATATAATGACATTACTATACAAACGGTGGGATTTGCATAAGGATGTCAATACACAAATGACGATGCCATAGTGTTCCAGATACAGGAATGAACATCTCCCCCTCCCCTGCCGCCCCTTCAATTAATCAAAACAAGGTTAAAGCAAGTTTTGACTTAAAGCATCCACTTGTGCAGAGATAAATATCTTGTTCATAACATTTATTGCTTCTTCTTTCTGGTCTCCAAAGGACAGCCATGTTAGTCTGTAGCAACAAAAACAACAAAGAAATTTATGACACATTTTAAGATTTCAGATTTGGTAAGATAAGCTTTCTTGGTACTGCCTTTACTTCACCAAATCTGAAATGAGTCTTGGTAGCCTTTACGATTTCGGTGTTTGAAGTGATCTATTCTCTTCTTGTCCTGCAGATAAGGCCAAGGTTTCTAGCTGCCAGGTGATTGTGCATTGCTTGGCAGGGATTTCCCGATCGGCCACCATTGCCATTGCATACATCATGAAGACCATGGGCATGTCTTCAGATGATGCCTACAGGTAGGTGGATTTCCAGAAGAAGATGGTGGTTATTTTTCTTTTCCAAGGAGAATAATTGGTTGGCTGGTTCTTCTCTCCCATCCAATCCTCAAAAGCTCCTTAGCACAGGTTTTATTTTTTTAATAGCTATTTTTGGCGTCAAGCTTTTTTTTCTCAACAGGTTCCTTCCACAAAAAACCAAGTGGACGCACATGAAAAGGAAACAATACCATAAATATCATGCCAGTGAGGGAATGGTCTTTTGTGAAGCTCTAATTCTTAATTCTTTCTTAGTGTCAGCTTAGAAGCTGATTTATGTAACTGTCAGGCTTGTGGTAGCCACTTCAATTTCACCTGCTGATTGGATCCCACTCTTTGATCATTTGGGACCATTCACATGTAAATTTAGTCATTTTGTGATTCACAGTAAAAAAAAACAACTGCGCACACTGCACAAAAAATAGAGTGCTGGACTAATACTGTATACAGAAAGGGCTTATGTATGGGTATGGAATCACCATATAGATTACACAGCCACCTTGCTGAACTCTTGAAATTTGTGGAACTTGGTAACAATTGATCATCTATTGGACAAGGAGAGATCCTTAAATATATCTCTACTTTTTAAAGCCATGGGCATGTGGGAAAGATGAATATAATTAGTTTCTAGTGTTACTTTGAATTATAGCATTTTTAAGAATCTTTTGCAACCATGGCTTTCTTATTAGATGCTGAAAATCTTGGTAATGCTTTCAGGATCTATAAAATATATCTTTATTGAAAATAAGAAAATGCCATGTACTAATCATGGCCCTTTGCTTGCCCCGACAGGTTTGTCAAAGACAGACGTCCCTCCATATCACCCAATTTCAACTTCTTAGGTCAACTCCTAGAGTATGAGAGAAGTTTGAAGCTACTCAAGGCTTTGAAGGCCCAAGGAGAGAAAGGGGAAGTGGAACCCCAGCAAGAATACTTCGAGACTTGTGAAGGTAACAGACCCCAGACTCTGTCTCTCTCGGAAAAGACTGAGGAGATATTAAAAAGCACAATCATGGAAACATCCTCCATTGACTCAGAGCGATCACTAGGAATTTCAAAGGTTGTCTCACCGATGGCATTGCAGCAAGGACTCAATGGGCTGCATTTATCTTCTGATCGCATCCAAGACACCAACCGACTAAAGCGGTCTTTTTCTCTAGACATCAAGTCAGCCTACTGTCCTACCCAAAGGCAGGAGATCCCGGTTCCTACTGAAGTAGGGGAAACTCCCAAGCTTTGTAAGTTGGACAGCCCTTCAAGTCCCAATGGTACGTGTCAGTTCTCTCCCCTTCCAGATGGTTCTGACTGGCCCAGCGGACCCGACTTCATTCTAGAGGCCAAAGTACGACAACGGCGGAAGCACAGACACCAAGCTGGCTCCCCTGCCCATGGTCTGAGCCTTAATTTCAGTGGGATGTGTGCCATGCACAAAAGCACCAGCATGGAGGACAATCTCAAGCAGACCCTTCGGCTGAGCCTTCCCAATGTAGGGCAGCAGATGGCCCAGCCAGCCACCACCCCCTCCAATGCTGGCACTTGGGGGATGCACGTGGAATCCCTGAGCACGCCTTCTTCGGAGAACTCCTGGTACTTCGGCACAGACTCGGCAGCGGGCGGCGGGGGTGGGACTCTCTTTGCCAGCACCACCACCTACTCCTCATTCAGCTGCAGCACAATCCAGGCAAGCTGTGAGATCAGACTGAGGGACAAGCAACGAGGGGAGCAGCGAGAGGTGCGGCATAGCTGGCACGAGGACACCATGCCTGAGAAGCAATTCAAAAGGAGGAGCTGCCAAATGGAATTTGAAGAAACCTTGTCAGAAAGCAGATCCCGGGAAGACCTGGGCAAAATTAGCAAACAGTCTAGCTTTTCAGGCAGCATGGAGATCATAGAGGTTTCCTGAATTTCACTGTATGAGATTTGAGAGCAAGTGTGGGTGCATCTGGGGGTGTGGGAGGGAGAAAGGAGAGGTAGGGACGAGGAGGAAGTTGGGCAACATATTTAACAGAGGAGAAGGAGGATGTGGGTGTAGGAGCATTTTTTTTCAATGCCCGTGTGCATTTTCAAAGGGCATATCCGCTAAAACGAAGGCAAAGCTAAAGGAATCTGAAGTCAAGAAACATAACGGTGCATGCTTAGTGCCTCCTTTGGTTCCTACCTCCACCACCATGACAAACCACAGTCACATTCCCTTTCTTGGGTAGGTGGAGAGTATATTAACTCTTTAAATAGTGGGTTCTTTCCTTTTGCATGCAAAGGGTGCTTTCTCTTCCCTTTCAGAGGGAACGGGAGAGCTGATGCATGTGTCCTACAATGGGGTTGAAAGAGAAACTAAGGCGAAATTGAAGCTCGGGAGGGGTGAAAGTTTTCTTGGAGGAAAATGGTTGCTCTTCAATCCGCAGATTTTCAGTTAAAGAGTTAAAGGGAAGCAGGTTCTTTTCTTTGAAGAGTGTATTATTACTAATTATAATGAGTACATTCCTATCTAACTTATAGGAAGTAATTGAGATTTTGCCTATCCATTTCCATTACAGCTGGGGCATTTCCTTTTCTATTCCATCAGGATATTGGACAATATATTGGTGGCTGAAATTCAGGTGTAGAAACCTGGAGAGGTTTCTTTTCCGAGGCTCCCCTCTTCCTAGACTGAGCATGGGCCTTTGTGTTTCTCTGGCTAGTATTCTTTAAAGCTGCTGTTCAGCAGTCCTATACATATATAAATATATGTTATATATAATATAAAAGAGAGAAAAACAAAACACAAAGAAAAAAAGTTTAAAGGTTTTACTACAGTTTTTATTGAGACAAATAATTTTTGACTTTTCTTTCTAATTTATTTGAAGCTGTTCATTCTGGCAATGATTTTCAGACAATGTAGGGGCAGCACTTCAGCTCTGTTTTTATGTATATGGTATTTAAATCGGAAACACAAGTTTCAAAGCAATACCTTAGGCCTGTGGCTCCTTCAATGGCTTGCATCAGTGGTGGAGACACCCCCAAAAGAGATAAAAGGTGTGTGTGTTGCGTGGGTGTGTGGGTGTGTATATGGGCATCTGCTTTTTATTTTTTTAAAAAGTGAGAAAATCTTTTAACTCAAACTGAGCCAGGAATTATTCTTAATACTTCTTTAGTTTCCTTGTTCTATCACACCTTGCAATCAAAGCCATAAAACCTTCTCCTTCCTGGGTCTGAGCAGGGGATAAATAATAAGAGTTGTGGCTGTAAGAGTAGGCTTAGCCATAAGAAAAAAGGGTACCTTGAGTAGGAAGGGTGCAGACTGCATAGGAGCTATATATTCCATTAAATATGTGCTGTCTGTAAAGGGAGTACATTAGATCTAAACCTGGGGTGGTGATGGGAAGAGCTTTTCAGAAGGCCAGAGTATTTAATTTAATTTCTCATTGACTTAGGAGAACTGGTGGGCTCTTAAACCCAAAGGCAGGCTACTCTGAATGGCTCCTCTTGTTCAAACAATGTTAAACCCAGCATCTGTGGAAGGCAGATGGAGGTGGAAGAGAATTTTGGAGAACTAAGACCATGGAAATGTTGAATAAATTATGTTGTGGTACTAGAGTAAAAATATATTTAAATATCCTCAGGCCTATTTTAGGGAAGCTGCCAGGAGGCAGTGTCTTTTTACTACTGCAAGAACCGACATTTTAGCTTCAGTTCACCATCCAAAATCTCTTGTCTCCTCTAAGTATTCATTCACCATCAATCAGGGATTTCTCAGTGAATGCAAATCAGTCAGCGAGCAAACAGTCCAAAGACAACGTTCACTTCTTAGCAGGTCATCAAAGTGAACAGCCTTTCAAGAAATGAAGTTCTAGAAAGGATAAAGAATACTTTAGACGTAATGTGAAAGCACTTGCCAGCCCATCCCAAATTCAGTTTTCATCATCTGTCTTCTAAGTCTATAGAATGTTATTAAGAACTTCAGTTTGATCCGACATTTTGTCTTGAATTTAAAAGACTGGTGTCGATGACAGAGACAAGAAAACTAGTTTTGAAAGTTTGATCTAAGTAAGTCACTGGGAAGTAATTTGGATGAAAGTTCTTCTGCAGGTAACACTTTCCTTCTTAGGGAGGAAAGGTTTCTCTGGCACCTTTTAAAAGATGTATATCTTAAATCAGAAGAGGCCATAGCCAGCTCAGGATTTTTTTCACACCACGAGTAGATAATTGGACCTCTTCCCAGTTGTTAAACTATGCTAATAAAATGACAAATGTAAAATAGATCATCGCTGACTGGTAGAAACACACCATTCAATCAACTTGATAGTAGGGCTAGATAAGGGGGGCGAATGGGTTTCACGTTACTGAACAGTAGGCAGATCCAAATGTGTTTCTGATGGAGAAGATTGTTTGAGAAATACTACTACACCGCTGGTTTTCCGGAGGAGTAGGTGAGATTATTTGTAAGCCACTGACTGTGTAGATGAGCTCAACCAAGCAGAGGGTTTTGCCCTCAGTGGGTCACTCCCTTGGGACTTGTGTGGAAGTTCTCCATGGAAGTGAGCTGCTTTAACCTGGTAAATGTTACAGTCCCAGTGTTGTATGAAATATTTGTCAAAGGCCTCTATTTCAGAGCGCCATGTTGTTTACATTGCCTTGAATAGGTACAAAACAGAACTTTGGGGCAAGCAAATGAACACACATGTCAAGATAATAGTTGGCCACAAGTGTACGATCCCAGTCGAAACACAAGAGTGGGAAGGATGTTGCACATTTTCATTATTGGCTACTCTGGACGTATTTGTGGGGAGCAGCAAAGGATTCAGCTCAGTTCATGACCCGGATGCACCACAGGGGGTGCTCATCTATTTAAAATAAAGGCACAGAACTGTCTCCCTGAAAGCACATTTTCTTCTTTGTGTATCTGATTTTGCATTTGCTTCTTTCGTTATCACGTGCTGACTTTTTTTTTTTTTTTGAGCCAATACCTCAGGGTTGTTTGTGTAGCTTTTAAAATGAAAAAAAAAAAAAAAACTTTTAGTGCATTTCTTTTCCCATTTTCTTGTTCAGCTGTATTTTTTTTTAAATACACAAGACAAAAATAACAATCTCAGGTTCAGACTTTGCAAACCACAGGGGAGCAGCAATAACATGTTCTAGCATCAGGTTGTCTGTTTCCTGACCGTAGTAATTGCTGTCTACTTTGCCAAGATACAAAGTAGAGAGATCCTCATTGTATTTATTTTACCACTGTCTGTTCAGATTAGATGCTGCAAGCTCGGGAGTGACTTATGTGGACCTGCATGCTATTTTGCAAGTAATATGCAGAGGGGCATTGGACAGTGGGACTGGAGAGGTTGCAATTAGGTTCTCACACTGGCAGTATAATTTTCTTTTTTAAAAAAAAAATTGTTGAATTGTTATGCTGAAAGCAAGATGACCTATTCTGCTGCAGCTTTCTTGGAGTCTGGTTTTGTACAGTATCCACAGATGCTAAAAGATCAAATTCCTCATTTCACCTGGGAGCTTGCATCAGAAGTGCAGGTGAAAAGTTCCACCTTAGGAATTTTTGATCTTGTAAAAGTTTGATTAAAGTAGAATTCGCACTAACCAGTTAGGTTTGATGAGCTGGGATTAGGTGCCTCTAGATTCCTCTCATCGATACTTATGGGAAATATTCATAAGTATCACCAAGAATTTTCAGATAGGCTGAAACAAATGAACAATTGGGATAACGGCAGAAATACCAAATGCCTGTATCACTCTGAAATAACATACTTTTCAAGATGCCAAGATCTTTTAAGCTTGCACTTGAATAGAATGCCAGTGCTGATTTTTCTCAAATATAACCCAAAGCCACATAAGGCTCGATATTTGTAGAAGAAATAAGGTCATGAGAATATATTGCTAACCAAGGCTAGGTTGAGAACCATAAAGCAGTTCGTTTGGAGGCAGCTGACTCTTTAACAGTATCATTGTCTTGCTGCTAATTCTCCGTCTGCAGAATGTGAAGAGAGGGAGAGAGAGAGAGAGACATCACTTTAACTTCACACCAGGTACAAAAATTATCTAACATCCTCGGTCTTATATAGGGATTTTTCTGGCCTGCAGCACCTTTCCCACCCACCTCTGTGATAAAAAGTTTTGTTAGCTTTGTTTTGAAGGCTTTGCTGTGACTCTTCACTCTTCTGCCATGTTTTATCATGTGTCCGTTGTGGTTTTATTTATTATTTCTGTCCTCTTCGTTTCTTGTATCCCATGTGCCGTTTTTCATGTCTCCTCTACTGGATGCCAATCCCTTAAAAGGATATCTGTCCTACTTTCCTCTGGATCCTAATGCTAATGATAATAAGCTATCAATGTTGTAATTGCAATGTATTATAGATTTAAGTATTTATTATTATATTATTATGTAATTTTGCTTCTATGTATGTTGATCTTCGTTTCTCTGTTGTGAATATATATGGGCTTTTCCCTTCTCCGCCTGCCCTCTGCTTTCTCTGATTCCAACTGTATGCAAAGGCTGGTCAATACTGTGGCAGGTATGATTGCCAAATAGTGCACAAACAAAGGTGGAGAAGTCCTTCTCTCAGGGGTATCGTGTTTTCTTAAAAACTCTGCCAGACACTGAAGCTTCCCTAGATCCACTGAAGGGGGAAAGATAAAAGCTTGAACATGATTTAAGATAAGCAAAGAGTGCATCGGGAGGTTCAGAACACCTGTTTTTCATCTGACAGTAGTTTCCCTCTTCTGGACTACAATTCCCAGCACCCACAATTATTATAGCCAATGTGTTGTGATGGGGAATTATATTCCTACTTATCTGAATGGTATTCGATGGGGGAAAGTGGACATAGAGCTAATGCAGGCTAATTTCAGTGCAATGAATTTCCTCCATCCTTGGGATTAAAATTTGATGAGTGCTAAGAACTCAACAACCGTGTTTGCACTCTGGAGAAAATTTTAATTTCCCAACATCTTTTCAAGTCATGATTCTGTGTGGTGACAATTCTGTATCAATAGCCATCATACAAATTCATTTCATGGAAGCCAAAAGCAATTAAAAGGAGGCATTTGGTCTCCAAATCCTTAATAAAACCCCATTAAATTCAATTTTGTTAGTATAGACTTTTCTGCCACCATAGTATTGTGATTACGTTAGACTAGACAGGATAGAAGAGATACAGAGCCTGCTCCCATACTGATAGTGAGGACTTTTTTTTTCATGTTAACAGTGTTCAGATATCAACATGAAAGACCCAGGCTATTTCCTTCAAAAGTTACATAGATTTCGATGGAATATTTATTTAACGTATTTAGTATTATTGCTCCAACAAAATTCAAAGCTGCAACTGTTTTCTATATAGTTGATTGTCATGGGCAAGTCTCTCTGACTTCTTCAGTATACTGAGGCAATTATGCCTGGTTTGCACCCAAAACAAGTGTCCCTCCCAAATTTGTCATAGAAACTGGAGTGGCTGAAACCCCCAGGGGTGATTCCTCTGTCCTTAGGAAGTGTTTGGTGACTGATATCACACACACCCCAGTTTTTTCCTTTATTGCTCAATGAAAGTCAGTATTGCAAAACACAGCTGTGAGCAAAGGACGTCTGAGTCCTTCCTAACCATCCATCTGCCACATGTTTTCCTAGCCGTGCTCAGTAGGAATCAGTAGAATAGCCATTGATCGGATTGTTTTGAGATTTCAGAGAGGA